CGATATCAATGTGTATACGCGCGAGGTATATCCAGCGAGCTCCGATAAATCCTTGATGCTATACATCATACGGCCACCCGCATCAGCCAAAGACAACATTAGTCGTTTATTTGTTATGAACTCCTTCATACGGCCCCGTTCTCGGTTGATACCCGCTCCAGGGGTAGCCATCTCGAGAATTCCGCCAGCTCCACCCCATGCTGGAAGGAAAATTGGTAGTGATGTGATTAAATACCCAAAAGCTGACCACGAATACTTCAATAACATGTCTTCGAACATGTTATATCGTATCTTCAACTTATATATACCTTCCATCCATCGTTGAAGATTGGCAAAGCTCTTCGAAAGGAATACCCGCTCGATATCAGCACCTCCATAGAACGCGATCTCTTCGGCATTCGCCAATAGCCTGGAATGTAGGCTGCGGAAATCGCCTTCCTTCTTCCCTTCCACTGCCTTGAGTTTCCCGAATGGAGGGGAATGGCCACGGAGAAGTGATGCAGTGCCAATATACCCGCTTAGTATACCAGTTAGAGCCAGTGGACCCAACGAACGATAAAGCTGGTAGTTGAAAACGATAAGGTCGACCAGGGGTTTTCCAAGTGAAGAATATAACGATGCAACAGCGCTGCAGAAAAGGGTGAGATCCTGGGTAATAAACTGATCAACTCCTTGGCCAATAGCTCCATCAAGATTGCCCAACTTGTAGTAATTCATGTTGTCGTTCAAATAAAGGTCGTGTACATAGCGAGTAAGTCGTGTTCGGAAAGCGATAGAAACCTTCGATTTTAGAAATTTGATCATAGCGTTTGTGTATGAAGCGAAAGTGCCGATGCTGCACCACTTTATGATGCCCCAAATGAAAGCTCTTCCTTTCCCGGCCACCAGATCCCGTACAATCTCACCATCCAGCCTAGCCACCACCAGAGATAGGTATGTTCTTAGCATGAGAAAGACACCATGGCTCAGAAGTAGGCCTGTTTCCTTGCTGTTCCATCGGGGAATCATGATGCTCAATAAGCTGAGCAGTTGGTGCAAAAAGGCTAAAT